GTGTGTGCACGGTTGTTGGGCGGCATGAATTGGAGGGCAATAAGCGGGTACAATTGGCCAAGAGGCAAGGGGCAAACGTAAACCTATCGCAAAAGTGGCACAAAAGAATGCTGGCAACGGGGCGTCAGGAGGCTGCATGCGAGGCAGAGGTTGAGGAGCAGGTCCGAGTGGGCAACGAGCGACCTGGACCTTCTAAGAGGCGTCAACTCTGCGAGGAAGCAAGGAAGCTGGGACTGGTGACTTCTGCCGCCGGCTGCTGTTGCGGTGCCGAATGGCTGCCCGATTGATGCTCGTGTCGAGGCGAGTGAGCAGAATGGTGGTCAGATTGGGTTGAGGCCACTTGTGGACAAGAGGTTGCATGCGGTGGCGATCGTCAGAGCCTTCCGGATGGAGGCCAAAGACCCTTCAGCAGCCGCGAAAAGGGTTTCGCCCAACCGTGCGATGCCAACGAGGCGACGAGCAGAAGGAAGCGAGCACGATTCGTAGGAAATGTGTTCACACAATTTCGTGTCAGGTGATGAAGGACCGGTGGAAGAAGAATTTTCCCACAATGACATGAGCAGACGCGAAGAGAAGTGGTGTTTCGAGGGATCTCTTCTTGCAAAATTGTACAGCCTACTTCCGTTTCGACGGCCGATTCCGCTTGACCAACTGATTCGTGCTGACGCTGTTTCCAAGGCAATCTCTGCGAGTCAAGAAAACGCACCGGCAATTCCTTAAAGAGTTGTATACTTTCTTCATCTCTGCAGTTTTCTTGACTCGTTAGCTTGACATTTGTTGCGACGATGATACCTTGCTCTGACGATTTTCGTCACCTGTTCACCGGAGTCGAGTGAGATTGCCTCGGAAACAGCGTCTGCATGAAGCTTTCAGTAAAGCCAATCGACAGCTGGTCCTCTGGTGGAACGGACCTTCGAATCTCTTCACGCAACACTTTCACTCGCGATGGGTAGAGCTGACGTTTCCTTTCAATTTCACATGGCAATGTGAACTTGAATGGAAACGTCAGCTCTACTCGCATCATTGTGGGAAAATTCTTCTACTTGTCCTTCATCATCTTAAACGAAATTGGGTGAATACATGTCATACTACTGATTTACTGGTAGACTCGAAACGATACTTAAATGCGAAAAATAAAAAAGTCCCAGCTGAGATGAATGCGAGGAAAAGTGGATGGGCTGTCTCAATAAGGCTTTTTAATTGGTTGCTTGCGTCTGTGGATGAGCGGATGTTGCAAAATGTGGATTTGCTTGTCCATTTGCATGCAGCATCCACGCGCAGTCCTGCCAGCAAGACGTAACGGGCTCTGGACACAATCGGCCACTTTCACTCGACGCAAATGTACGTCGGAGTCAGTAAGGAGGTGGACGAGATGTTGTAGACAATGGCACTTTTGGTGGAAGCTTGTGCGAGCAGGCATGAGGCTTGACTATGGGAGAGTGTGGTTCCCACTTTCGGCAAAATCCACAAGCCGAACTGACGAAACACTCTCGGCTCGGAGCATGGACGACCACCTTCCTGTTCGACAAGACCGCACTTTTCGGCACAGCCAACGGACAAACCGGATGCCGCGACAGAATTCAATATACCTTTCTGCCTCTCATGGCGCCTCTCTCTCTCTCTCTCTCTCTCTCTCAATCAATCAATCAATCAATCTA